GAAACCTCCGCGGAAGCCACCGCGGTTCCCCATCCCAGGGCCACCAGGGCCTCCGGGCCCCCCCGCTGCACCGGCGTCATCCGCCATTTGCTGGAGAAAACGACAAGAACCAAGCAGTCAGTGCGGTCTAGGCATCTAGCAGCCCCCCGCAAGACCCCGACGGGGGCTCCCGCCCAGGAGCGCGGACTCGGGAGCCTAGACCCGACTCGATGTCCGCGGATTCCCGCCGCCCACGCCCAGACCCGCAGCAGCAAACAAGACCACTCACGTGTTCTCTTGGAGAAGAAGAGCGAGGCCTACTGGGAAGCAGCTTTTATACCACACCAAGCGCCGCGAGACCTCCGCGGCCCCGCCCCGGGCGGGAGCGCGCCGAGCTCCCATAAGACAACCTGTGATTGGCTCCGCGGTGCCCCGCCCTCACCGGGCTCGGCGTGCTCCTGTGCGTCCGGCCCCAGCCGCGGCCTGGGAATCTGCGTCACCCGAAAAGCAGCTATAAACGCCCGCGCATGCTTTGCACTGCCTTCTTCACTTAGGTAGGTCCTGCCGCGTTGACCACCGGTATCCCGCTGGTGGTCTTGGAGACCGGCGTTGGTTGAAAATCACCCCCGGCTTTGGCCGTGGCCGCGGGTGAGATTCGACGCCCAGAGCCTCCGGGGGCCTCAGCTCACCGCGCGCTGCTCCATGTGCGGCGGTGAAACCCAGGCCCCGACAGGCGCCGCGTCCTCCCCCCAGGTGTGGCCGCTCGCGTGGTCTGGCCCCTGACTCCTGACCCCGGCTGCCGACCCCTAACCCTGTTTTCTCTCCGCAGGACACTGGTCCTCCCACGCCTGAGACCGACGTCGCCAGGACCGCGGGGTCGGGGGGACTCGGCTGTCTCCCGTCTTTCAAATAAAGCTGTTTGCCTAACTCACTGCGTGCGGGTGTTCTTGGGGTCCCGACCCGCCTATCAGCCTGGCAAGTGCATCTGTTCACGCAGTGGCGGGGAGAACCCTAGCGAGATGCCTCCTCGTCTTTCCTGGCCATCCCAACGCCGCGTTGGAGACAAGGATAGGATGTGGGAGGTTGGCAGGTGACATGTAAGGTCCGACGCTTCTTAAGTGGCGGAGCCAGATTGGGAACAGTCTTGTGGCCATGCGCGCCTCAGGTAAAGGCCTAAAGGGCGCCAGGTGGGGCCAGCAGAGCGCTCGCAAGGATGGGAAGTTCAGAGGCTTCCAGTGACTTCCTTGTGAGACCAGGTGAGATTCTAAGGGATTTGACCAGCTAGGCCTAGATGAACTCGGCGCCCCAGTGGTGCTAGGCTGGAGCGGATCAGACACCTGGTTTGGGAGACTGGGCCCCTGCTCTGGACAGCAGTTTCCCCGGGAGTTTAGTTCTCACTGCCTTGGAGCTACCCCTGAGTGTCGGACCCTAAGTGAAGACCCCTAGTGGGTCAATGCCTGAAGCCCCCATACTCTAGGAGCCCTAGGAGCTGCAGCCCTCTGGAGAGAAGAGGGCGGCAATCCCTGTGATCCCACTGAAGCCCTGGCCTGGGGGAAACAGCTCCATGAAGCTTGGTTCATCTCAGCTCACTACAGCTTCTGCCTGCCGGTTTCAAGCAGTTAATGCCTCAGCCTCCCAAGCAGCTCGGACTACAAGCACCTGCCACCACGCTCGGCTAATTTGTTTGTATTTTTAGTAGCGATGGGTTTTCACCATGGTGACCAGGCTGGTTCGAACTCCTGACCTCAAGTGATCTTCCTACCTCGGCCTCCCAAAGTGTTAGGCTTACAGGCATGAGCCACTGCACCCAGCCCTGTGACTTAAAAGAGGTGGGGTCTCACTGAATTGCCCAGGCTGGTTTCCTGGGCTCAAGTGATCCTCCTGCCTTAGCCTCCCAAACTGCTGGGATTACAGGTGTGAGCACTGTGCCCAGCCACCTGTGATCCTCTACAGAAGGGAACAAGGGCTGGGCTGTACAGGGTCTCTGGGCCCTGAACCAGGGTTGTGATTGGCTTGAGCTGGACAATGCTATTGTGATGTCAGCCCACACCCACTGTGAAATGCAGGCTCCTGAGCTCTGGGGGCCTGTGGAGCTGCTGTCTAGACACAGATCATGGTGAGCCTGGGGTCCTCTTACCTCCTGCCCTTAGATGTGTGCCCAACTCCAGAAACTTGCCCAGTTGTTCAGGGATCGACCCCACTGCACTTGGAAAGGGTGGGCAATGGGTCGCAGGCCCCCATATGGTACAATGAAACCTGGAAGGCTCTGGCTAGGTCTGATTCTAGGCTAAGGCCCCCGTCTCCAACCAGGGATTAGTAGTCTTGGGGTAGGGGGCCCTAACCCCTACAGCTGCCCCCTCAAAGTGGGTGCTGAGCCAGCCCCTCTACTTGAAGTTTTGTGGCTCACCTCCCCGCCCAAAGCTTGCTAGGCTGTTGCTGGGTATGTGGACCAGGGACTGGATCACTGTCCCAGCCAGGTCCTGACACCTGGCCTTTGCAGAGTGGCGGGTATGATCTCAACCTCTTCGCCAGCCCTCCTGACAGCAACTTTGTGTGCTCCGTCTGCCATGGGGTTCTCAAGAGGCCAGCAAGGTTGCCATGCAGCCACATCTTCTGCAAAAAGTGCATCTTCCAGTGGCTAGCCAGGTGCCACCGGGTACCCAAGGGGCTGGGAGGGGAGGAGTGAGACTGGGGGCCATCGCTGTGGCCCAGAACAGAGGGGAAAGTCAGCCAAAAGACTCAGCCACGAAATCTCCCTAAACTAAAATGTGTATACCCTCACCCAGTGGCATCTGCAGACCCCGGCCCCAGCCTCAGAGCTGAGAGCGTCCTGTAATATGCCCTGATGCCTCCTCCAGCTGATGAAGAGACCACCTGGGTCACCGAGTGAGAGCTTGACCAGGGCTCCCTTCCTACTCCCAACACTCACCCCTACTCATGCCTCCTTCCAGACAAAAGACCTGTCCGTGCTGTAGGAAAGAGGTGAAAAGGAAAAAGATAGTCCGCGTGAATAAACTCCGGAAAACCATTGGCCGCCTGGAAGTCAAGGTAGCTCAGAGTACCCACTCCCCCGACCCTCGACCCTTCTCACCCTTGTAGGGGTGGGGCAGGGCCAGGAGAGGGGGCAGGAGAATCCTATCTTCAGAGAGACAAGTGCAGCCTTGGGAGGACCAGACGTGGCTGAGTTTGAATCGTGGCTTTACTACTTAGTTGCTGTGTGACTTTAAGCAAGTCACCTAACTTTTCCGAGCCCCGGGGTCTCAGCTGTAAAATGGAGATTATAGAGGACTTACAGAGGATTTTCAGAGGATCTAGTGCCTGGTGTGCTGGCCACTACTCTCTAGCCCCCTAGTTTCACAGATGGGTAAACTGAGGTTAAAAAGGAAAGCCTGGCATCCATACCACTCACCAGACCAACCCAACTGTGTACCTTCCAGTTCCCCAAGACTCAGGCCTCACCCCCTCCCCTGGAACTTCTAGCTTCTTCCCACTTCCAAGCATTTGCCCCAATGTTCTCTCCACCCACTCACCCAAGTCAGAAAAGTGTGGGAGGCTCCCGGTTCCCTGGTTCCTGGTGAATGGAAAGCCAGGGGTGGGGGTTCTGGGGGTGTCCCGCCTGATTTCTTCACACGTGTTCTCCTTCACCCTCAGTGCAAGAATGCCAACGCTGGCTGCATAGTGACGTGCCCCCTGGCCCATCGCAAGGGGCACCAGGACTCATGCCCCTTCGAGCTAATGGCCTGCCCCAACGAGGGCTGCACCTCGCGTGTGCCGCGTGGGGCCCTGGCAGAGCACCGGCAGCACTGCCAGCAAGGATCCCAGCAGCGCTGCCCCCTGGGCTGCGGGGCCACGCTGGACCCGGCCAAGCGCGCTCGCCACAAGGCCAGCAAGGTTGCCATGCAGCCACATCTTCTGCAAAAAGTGCATCTTCCAGTGGCTAGCCAGGTGCCACCGGGTACCCAAGGGGCTGGGAGG